AAATAATATATATATATATATATATATATATATATATATATATTTTAGATTGAGAAGACAAATAAGTAATAAAAGAAAATTTTCAAACTCATACACATAATTGACTTATAATGACCTTAAAATATTTGCAATAATATACGTAATTATAAACTACTCATATCTTACATTATTATTTCCAATATTTACATTACATATTATTCTACTATTATTTAGAGTACATGCTTTACATGCTATATTTTTTTTTCTACTACTTTTCTACTACTACTACTACGATAGTATTTACATTGGTGGTGGAAATAAGTTTACAATAGGATTTGCATGATTTGCTGGTGGTAAAAAGAAAGTCACTATAATGGGTCCATCTATAATAGTGGGATTTTCTTGATTGGGAAAGAAAACGAACGAAGACAGTCTTATGCCTTAGAACGTGACTGAGTTGGAGATAGCGTCTACACTCCAATTACTCCCGGGAAAAATGGCAATGATAACTACTGTAAAAGGACCTAGAATGACCGGTAGATCCAAGGTCCTTCCAGAGAAGTCAAGCACTCTCTGTCTCAAAACACGCCCGGCGCAATTCCTTTTGCGCCTGGCGCAATATAACTTGCAGAGATGAGATACTCTGTTTTGGTCACGCCCGGCGCGGGTCATCTTGCACCCGGCGCAGTCACTCTTCTCTGCTCCTTAGCTTCTTTAGTTTCCAATCCTATGGGTCTTCAATCCTCAAGTCTCTAGCTCAATACCTGCACAAAAATGAGGTGTATTAAGGTATTGTTAGCTAACTTTGGGTTAGTTATATCTGCACACAAAATGAACCAAAAAGAGAACAATTATATTGCAATGGTTCAGAGGATGAGTGGAATTGTTCAATAAGTCTCATCCAAAAAGAGGTATAATTGAGACTTAACAACTCCCCCAAACTTAGAACCTTGCTTGTCCTCAAGCAACAGGTAATTAATCTAGCAGATAACTAGCAATGCATGTGTGTCAAATTCTACATCCTAGTTCACTTGTATTTTCCTTTCGCAAGCATGAACCTAAGATGGATCTCCAGTCACAATTATTGCAACAGAACATGACAAGGTGCAAACAAAAGTTTCAAAAGAGATCAAAGAGCTGAGAAGAGTTAATGACTATCTGTGTATGCATCCTCACTAGGAAAGTGTTTCTCTCTATGCACACTAGTGTATCAGGGTGAGTGTTTCTCTCTAGTCTACTACTCACGCCACATGATTCAACTTTGCTCTTCGTTTCCAAATGAAACCAATGGTAAAACAGATGCAGGCACTTATCACAAGGTCTTTATTAGGGCAAATCTGGGTTGAGCAATAACAATCTCATGGTTTTTCAAGGATTCAAGTTGCTATGGCTTAAGAGAGAAATTGAGATTTCTACAATGATATCCCTCTCCATACCCCAATATAACAATTCAGCACATGCCCTTAACCGGATCCAAGCCATTAACCTTTATGTGATGCATATTTACACTTTTGCATCTTAATATTTTTGCTTTTGTTTTGTTTTTTTTTTTATATATATTTTGAATGGCTGACCACATACTTTCTTCTTCCCAAAATTCCTCATTCTCCAACTCCCCCAAACTTGTTTGATGTCATCAATTTGCTCTCTTAACCACAGCAGAGGTTATGGTTAATTTTTCTCGGTTTGGGATAAGTTGAAGGTGTGGTGTTTAGGCTTAGGAAATTATGAGTCAGGTGAAATGTGGAATTGGCTTTTTGGCTTAGATGGTTAACAAAATAAGGAAATATGAATGCCTTGATCATTTAAGTACACAACATAAGCAAACCACCAGGGAAACTCAAGCAAAGTCTATCATGTGACTTAAGCGTAGTTCACTCATCAGTATTTGGGCTCAAACCTCACCCAGCTATGCATCCACAAATTATCAAACTCAGCTCAGTCCTATGATCAACATTGAAACCCGTATGCAACTAGTCATGAACTAAAGATCTAACGTGACTTAAAAATGTCTAAGGTATATGCACCACAACATCAAGCAAACCACAATCCAGAATCAACCACAAGCAAGCATGTATCAACAAGATTAAAACCGTGCTAAAGCAGAATATTCACAAAAAGAACCAACAGTGTAATCACCAAAAAGAAACTAGATATACAAATTGTTAAAATACTGAAAATAAAAGACAGAAAAATAAATTGCAATAACAAAGGTAAACTAAGGTAAGCTCTATCTGCTTCCATCTATGAAGTTTGGTCATCATCATTAGCAGCTGCTCCACCGTCATTAACTCCATCAGCATCAGCAGCTCCACTCTACATGCAAACACAAAACACAATGCATAGGCTCCATACAACTCAAAATAAACTTAAATCTCACATTCATCCAACCTATGCATCAAAATCATCAAAATCCTCCTTTTTCTCAAAATCTCAAAAATAAGATTTTCTTCAATCCATCTATGGATTCTCAACATTCATGCATCAATTGAGTTTCTAAACTCACATACAACCTAAACAACAAACAGTCTAGCTTCCCTTACCTAAAGATTGATTGGCTCAGATAGCCAAAAGTTGACAAGAAGTAGAATTCCCCTTCGTAGCTCAACCCGGAACTTCAATCTACCCAAAGCAAGCTTTCTAATCTGAATTTCAAGAAATGACAGAAGGCATTAGTGGTCTAGAGGAGAAAAGGATTCATACAGAGAAATTTGGCAGAGAAAGGAGCTCACAGACCCAAAGACATTTTCTCTAAAACTTCTCTCTAGAAACCTCTGATTCTCCTCACGGCCCACACCCCTGTTTATAGACTTTCCGGATTGGCCAGAACGGCCTATACCGATACCGGAATGGCCCGTTCTGAACTGCTTCGTCAAGTGAAAAAAAACTCATGCAGAACGGCCCGTTCTGAAATCAGAACGTCCTGTTCTGGGACTCATCCAGAACGACCCGTACTGCATCCAGAACGACCCGTACTCCCTTCCAGAACGGCCTGTTCTCCATCCAGAACGACCCGTTCTCCAACCAGAACGGTCTGTTCTCAACCACGAATTACAGGCCAGTTTAATAGCTTGGAACGGCCCATTCCAGATTGGGAACGGCCCGTTCTGGGCTATTAAATCACCTATATTAGGTTTTTTTTTAAAACAACTTGCTACGTTACAATACCCCCCAACAAATAGGAATTTTCGTCCTCGAAAATAGGCTTACTTGAAAAGAGAAATGGATACTGTTCCTTGAACTGGCTCTCTATTTCCCAGGTTGCCTCACCAGTAGCTGCATCCCACAGAATCTTCACCAAGCTAATGGACTTGCCACGAAGTTCCTTCAACTTGTGATCAACCACAGCTACCGGTCTCTTCTCATAGGTTAAGTTCTCTCTAACTTGCACCTCATCCATCTCTACCACGTGACTCGGGTCTCTAATGTACTTCCTCAACTGTGAAACATGAAACACATCATGCAGGTTGGACAGAAACGGAGGTAACGCCAACTGATAAGCTACCGGACCTACACGATGAAGGATTTGGTAAGGACCAATGAATTTCGGTGTGAGTTTCTTAGCCCTTACTGCCCTTCCCACACCAGTAGTAGGTTTCACCCTGAGAAACACGTGCTCTCCCTCCTCAAACTCTAGTGGTCTCCTCCTTCTATCAGCATAAGACTTTTGTCGACTCTGAGTAGCTCTCAACCTCTTCTGAATCTGTCTCACCATCTCAATAGTCTGAAGAACTAACTCTGGACCAACCACTACTGACTCACCCTCCTGATACCAACATAATGGAGTCTTACACCTCCTGCCATACAAATCCTCAAAAGGTGCCATGCCAATACTCGCATGATAACTGTTATTGTAGGTAAACTCTACCAATGGCAACACCTCCTCCCAGCTACCCAGATGATCCAACACACAAGCTCTCAGAAGATCCTCTAGTGACTGAATTGTCCTCTCCGGTTGACCATCTGTCTGTGGATGATAGGCGGAACTCAACCTCAACCTCGTCCCCAATGCCTCATGTAGAGTCTGCCAAAACCTTGAAGTAAACCTTGGATCTCTGTCAGAAATAATACTGGAAGGCACTCCATGCAACCGTACTATCTCTCTGATATACAACTGTGCAAGTCTCTCTAAGGACCACCTCTTGTTGACAGGAAGAAAGGCCGTATTGAGCTCTAATCCTCCCCCTTTCTTATTTTTAGCTACTCTAAGACCTCTAAACCTACAGATAATCATCCTAGGGTCTTCCAGGAGTCCTTTCGGCTGACTTTCCTTTGGTCTTCGAGAGTCTTCGAGTCTTATTTCCGACCCGGACAATTTTAGGGGTCTACAGCCTCCAATCCTCTCCTGTCACTAGGTCTACACGGCCTACCTCTCCTATCTCCTCCCTAGAGTGAGTTTAGGGTTCCCTTGAGTGGCCTTCATCCCCACTTGATGAAGAGAGCCAACTAGAACACCCAAAAACACCATCCTCCCAACCTTTCTCCTATTTGCCCAAGACTCCACCCTTCACAGCCACCATCACTTAGCCTCACCCTTGAAGGAACGTCCACCCTCTAAGGTCACCATCTTGGCCTTGGCAAGGAGCTCATCTTCACCATTGAATGTTTTGATCATCCCCTTGGTGGAAGGAGTCCATCAAAAGGTAACAACCTGAGTCTGAATAAATGAGACTTCTAATTTACATATCATTGAACATTGATTTTATTATCTTTGTGAATGTACTTGCCTTTAGGACACAATATCAGCTTCTTCAACTGTCCCTGCAATGACTGCTAAAAATAGCTAAATACTGGGTTTCAGGAATGTTATGCGCCGGGCGCAGAACATATGCGTCAGGCTTTGTATCAGTAAAAATCAACGAGGTTACAAAATCTGATATCGCGTCGGGCGTGAATTAAGCGCGCCCGGTGTGGTGGTTCCAGAGACCAAAAATTGAATACTAGGCCGGGTGTAAAAGAGTTACGCCCGGCGTGTAGCCACTTACATGGTCAATTTGCCTAAGTTTTCTTAAAGAGAAGGCCTTATCTCCACCCAGAAACAGAGTTACCTCATCCTCACACTCCAAACAAGATGTACCCTATATTTACCCGCTCAAGCATGATTATAACAGTTAACATATAACAAAGAACAACATATACCACAAAACACCTATAACACAAAACAACACATAATACAAAACAACACATATGGCACAGAACAACATGCAATACAAAATCTAAAACACAGTTCAGATCTCTGGGTTGCCTCCCAGGAAGCGCTTGTTTACTGTCCTGAGCCTGACTGTGCCAACTTGACTTGCTCTAATTCTCCTTCTCCTCCTGTTGCTATTGTTCCTCCTTGTCGTGTGCTCACTCTCAGGATTGCTCAACAACTGCTCAGAAGGATTGGTCAATCTAGTTCAATAGTACCTTGCATACAAGAGAAAGTAGAGGACTAGAGTACATAGGTTAGCTCCAACAATTCATTGCTAACATAAAAATAACAATAACAATAAAGGAAAAAGTCACAAATAGCTATAAATACTAAATTTCCTTTCTAATCCCCGGCAACGGTGCCAAAAACTTGTTGAGATTTTCGTTAAAACCACTTTTGTTATCACTTTCAATTACTTTTGTTTTTGTCAACGGTCTCAAACACGAAAAGTATATCGATCGTTTAAGTAGTAAAATTATCGTATCCACATGGATTAGAAGGTAACATAAGCATTTATTGACTATTCGTGACTAAAGAATAATTCCAATTTCATAGTTTGTCATGTAAATTCATGGTTATGACTATTGGAATGAAAGCTATATAAAAATATTGGTTTGTGTGTGGAAAAGGGATAGAAATGGTATTATGGTTTTGTGAGATTGTGGGGTCAGATTTCACCAAACGTCAGACTAATGAATCCTTAATCTCTTGTTACATACATTGCTTAGTCAACCCATGAGTTTACTCAAACCTAATCTGGGAAGGCAGCAGGTGAGGATGTTTTATTTTTGTTCGATTCTGGTGCCACGCATTCTTTCATTTCTGTTGATTGTGTGGAGAGATTGGGTTTGTCAGTATCTTCATTGCATGTTGATTTGTCTGTGTCTACTCCGGCTTCAGTTTCTGTGGTGACGTCGGAGATGTGTGTGAGATGCCCGATAGAGGTGTCTGGTAGGAGGTTTCGAGTGAACCTGATTGTGTTGCCCATGGTGGATATCAACATAATCTTAGGGATGGATTGGTTATCTGCCCATCACATCTTTATAGATTGTGCTCGGAGAGAGTTGGTATTTCCTCAGTTGGAGGATGAGGTGTTAGTATCAGCAGGTCGGGCTGAGCAATTGATGAGGGATGGAGCTGAGTGCTTCATGTTGTTTGCAACTTTGAGTTTTGAGACAGAAAGAGCTATCGCTGGGATCGAGATTGTCAGTGAATTTCCTAAGGTATTTCTAGATGATGTGTTAGGATTGATGGGCTAAAGCAATCAGGTCGTATGTGGTATAATCGATTAAGTGAATATTTGTTACAAGAAAGATATAAAAATGATCCAATATGTCCATGTATATTTATAAAAAGATCTGAAAATGGATTTGTCATAATTGTAGTTCATGTAGATGACATAAACATTATTGGAACTCCTGAAGAGCTTTCAAAAGCAATAGATTGCTTACATAAAGAATTTGAAATGAAGGATCTAGGAAGGACAAAGTTTTGTCTAGGACTACAAATTGAATACTTAGAAAATGGAATTCTTGTGCATCAAGAAACTTATATAACAAAGGTGCTTAAAAGGTTTTATATGGTCAAATCACATCCATTATGCACTCCCATGGTTGTAAGATCTTTAGATGTTAACAAAGATCTATTTAAACCCCAAGAAAAGGATGAAGAAATACTTGGTCTCGAAGTACCATATCAGTGCTATAGGAGCACTAATGTACCTTGCTAATTATACACAACCTAATATAGCATTTGTTGTTAATTTGTTAGCAAGATATAGTTCTTCACCTACAGGAAGACATTGGAATGAAGTTAAACGAATCCTTCGTTATCTTAGAGGTACAATGGATATGGGGTTATTATATTCAAATGTTCACAAACCATAACTAAATGGTTATACAGACACATGTTATTTGTTAGATCCTCACAATGGTAAATCACAAATAGGATATTTGTTTTCACTTATACAACTCTATTGTTATGGAGATCTCCTAGGTGTATGCGTGACGACGCATTAGATGATTGATATGCATGAATATCTGTCATGAGTTGCATGTATTGCATGATTGTCATGATGATGGAGTGTATGGTGTTTGACTTCATGTTTGATGAATGGATGATTGATTGAGATGGAAGGTTACTTAGGGACTTGATTGGGATGCATGTGTAGTATAGATTTTATTCTGTACTTATATGATTGATGTTTGAACTCTAGCTTACCCTTCTGTTTCCATGTGGTGGAACTGCGATGATCATACTTGGTATGGGAGCAGGTCAGGGATAGCTTGGAGTAGAGGTGGCCGCTGCGAGACAAGGAGTTGAGCCTCGTGTTTTGAGTTACCATTTTGGGTAACAATTTTTTTGTCTGTGCTTGACCGGCACTAAGAAATATTTTGGGATGACTGTACATATATGGTGCTTTATTTTGTATACTGAAACTTAATTATTTTGATCTTTATATTTATGCCTATATGTATGTGTTATCCAGTTTAATATTCTCTGCGATTCCACTAAGTGTAGAGACCATGGCGGGTCGTTACAGATGTAGTTACAGAATATTTATATGACTCTCTTGATACTAACATTTATATGAAACTCCTAAAAGGATTTAATTTGCCTAATGATGCAATTTCTAGAGAAGATTATTCGATCAAGTTGAATAAGTCCCTGTATGGGCTAAAGCAATCAGGTCGTATGTGGTATAATCGATTAAGTGAATATTTGTTACAAGAAAGATATAAAAATGATCCAATATGTCCATGTATATTTATAAAAAGATCTGAAAATGGATTTGTCATAATTGTAGTTCATGTAGATGACATAAACATTATTGGAACTCCTGAAGAGCTTTCAAAAGCAATAGATTGCTCAAACATGTGGGAACATTTTACTAAACAAAAACCTTATTCTGAGAAGAAGGCTAAATGCAATTACTGTGGAGATTTGATTAAATATTTGGCTGGGATAAGTGGCATGAGGAATCATTTGATGAGATGCAAAGAAAATCCTAATAGAGAAGTATTCAAGAGGCAAAAACTTTCATCATCAACTATAGAAGGGGTTAGTGTTGGCCCTTCGCCAACTATTTCTAAATTTGACCAAAATGCATCTCGAATGAAGTTGGTGAAGATGTTTGTGAAGTCTGAGCTTCCTTTTCGATTTGTGGAAGATGATGACTTTCGTGACTTTGTATGGTCCTTGCAACCACGATTTGAAGTCCCATCCTGCATGATGAGGTTCCACTTGGAAATCCTCAAGAATTCCCTCAGTGGATCCAGCCAAGGTGGAGGCTGTGATTTAGTGGGAGCGCCCGAGGACTGCTACGGAGATTAGGAGTTTTCTTGGGTTGGCAGGTTACTATCGGAGATTCATTGAGGGTTTTTCTCGAATAGTAATGCCTTTGACTCAACTAACTCGAAAGGATCAACCTTTTGTTTGGACGGACGCTTGTGAGCAGAGTTTTCAGGAACTAAAGAGACGGTTAACCACTTCTCCAGTTTTGGTGTTACCTAACACTGGTG